ATACGTATACACCACCGAAAACGTAGCTATTTCTAGAATACCGGATTCATTTCCATAGGAATAAAGGTTTATGTTCACGGATACCCACCCATGCTGTAATGAGCACCTTTCTCTAGGGGTGCCTTGCAGAAAGATCTGAGGATGGGCTTGTGAAAAACCAGCCACTGAAAACCCTATGGAGTACAGTTCTACGTAACACATATAGGGTTGCCATAAGTTCAAAAAGCTGACTGCCACTAATTCTAAATCTTACAACTATAGGGTAGGTAGAAGTGCCTTTATGAGTTTCCAAGAGTGTAACTCTTTATAGGGAGAGAAAGCCTCAGGGTTAACCTGGTGGCAACTCTGTAGTGTTCTGATGAATGTCTTGGTGATTCTCAACATTTGGCACAGTGGACTACGCACCGCACCGCTGATCACATTAGCAGCGTGAAAGGATCAGCGGCTCTTGGGATGGGGTTGTGGCTACTCCTGTAGTTGGAGTCTTGGAAACCCACAGGAACAATTCCATTCTATTCTATTGGGGTGCTAGGAGGTAAAACTGACTCAATGGCAGTTGAGTTTTGTATTGGTTTTGGGAACACACTGAGCTGTTACTTCTAAAGTCCTGCTATCCACTTAGATATCAAATAGGCATGAATTCCTACAAGCTGGTCCCTTGGGTCTAATCTCAGTAAGTAGCTACTCTTTTTTGCACAGTTACTCAAAACTTCTGAGAATATTTTATTTTAAATAAAAGCAAGGTATCATGGCCAAATTTAGACCCACACAGGCTCATATTAGAATTGTCTCCCAGAGGAGCTTACTACATGTGCATTTCCTCCATATAATAATAATGAAGTATCAGTAAGAGAAGGAAAAAGACTTGGTATTTCCAGCCCTTTAAGATTCTTCTCATTTCGGGTAGAGGGAGAATGGGTTGGAAAGAGGGAACCAATTACAAGGAACTATATGTGACCTCCTCCCTGTGGGGCGGACAACAGAAAAGTGGGTAAAGGGAGACGTCGGACAGGGCTAGATATGACAAAATAATAATTTATAAATTATCAAGGGCTCATGAGGGAGGGGGGAGCAGGGAGGGAGGGGAAGGATGAGGACCTAATGCCAGGGACTTAAGTGGAGAGGAAATGTTTTGAGAACGATAGGGGAAATAAATATACAAATGTGCTTTACACAATTGATGTAGTATGGATTGTGATAAGAGTTGTATGAACCCCAAATAAAACGATTAAAAAAAATGGGAGGAATAAACAGAATTACTATATTAAAAAAAAAAAGATTCTTCTCATGTTACCTTTTGTCATAGAGTGGTTTCAGCCTCTTCAGGAGAGCCAACTCATTCTCGGACTCTTTGCCTTTTTCTCCTACAAGGTCGCAGGTTTTTTCTTCGGCCTGCCAGGATTCTGTCACAGCCACAGCTTGGAGCAGCAGCAGGAGCAGTCGTGTCCTCCAGCAGCTGTGGGAGGGGAGCATCCTTTTGGGTGCACATGTGTTGAGTAAGGGAGGGATGGGGGAGAAAGGAAAGAGATAAAATGCCTAATGTTATGTGTGGTATTTTCCTTCAGCAGGAAGCCCTGGATTCTGTGGTACAGACGTCAAGTAGTACATTGTCGTCTTTGAGTCCATTTTACCCCCAAGGACCCTATCTCAGGTCTTGGACCATGTAAATTTTTACAGGGCAGACAGGGGAGTTGCTGGTGGGTTTGAACTGCCACCCTTCCAGTTAGTAGCCCAATACCTAGCCTACAGAGCTACCATGGGCTCCTGGCATCAAGTAGTATATTTATATAAAAAAAACCAAACCTTTGTTCTTTTTACAAGTAGTCCATTTTAATATCTCTGTGCCAAAGGCATGCATTATCCAAAACCTCATATAACTTGCAGTCTACCTTACCAGTGAGTCCTTTACAACCAACTATTGGGGGTGGGACGAGAGAAAGGGGAAGCATAACAACGAAAGTCAATGAATTACGATGGCCTGAGCAGAGACGTCCTTGTCCCACGACTGTTCGTGAAAACATGAGACTAAGCATTTTATTATTCAAAGTTGATCTATGTTAGATTAAATAAAGTCATGAATCTAAGTTCACATTCATAAATAAAGCTCAAACCCTTAAGAAAACACTCAGATAACAACTTAAAAGAAAATCAAAGGCATACACTAAAGAAGTCACTCAAATACTCTGGACCTTGACTTCATACATTCACATTCAGGGCCGCCCAAGAGTCTTTGTTTTCCTCAATCATAAAAATGCCGAAGAGAGAAAACACAGTACCTAAAATTTGGCATTTATCTGCTTTCATGTCTCACTTTTGTGAAAACTTATTTCATTCTATAAATTACAGGGAATACATGCAATATTCACTAGGTCAAAATAAGTTGCCTGACGTCTGCTAAACTCACCTTTTCAAGCGTAACAAGTCACACCCAGATGTCTCTCCACTAAGTACAGCTGTCTTTTCTAGGCTCCAAATTGCCAACCACCCTTGGGAATCACCAACCACTTCATTGTTTAATAAATACAGTACACTTGTAAGAAGAGTCCTTGTGGTGTCTTGGTTACGGCTGCTACAGGTTAAGGTCAGCAGTTTGAAACCACCAGCTGCTCCACGGGGGAAAAGATGAGGCTTTCTACTCCCATAAAGAAACCCACAGGAGCAGTTCTACCCTGTCCTACATAGATAGGGTGCTTCCTACCAGGAAGCAGCATCAAGACGATGGCAGTGAGTTTGGTTTGGTTTCTGGAATACACTTGTTGGCTTGTGTTATTCTAGGAATGAAAACAAAAACAAAAGGCTCCCAATTTTTCACACTCATTTTCTTTTTCTAATTCATACCTAGAGTATAGTAATTTATCCAACTTCAATCTGATATCCTTTGATGATCCCTTAGGCCATTATTAAAAAGCAAATAAAGCATGTTGTGTTATGACTAAATCAATCTCACACCATGGGAACCCTATGTGTCGAAGAGCCTGGGTTTTTTGGGTTGTAACCTTTACAGAAAAGGGCCACCAGCTTTTCTTCCACGGCATCACCTGGTGGGTTTCAAACACCAACCTTTAGTTTTGCTTGCACCCTTCGGGGCCTAATGTCGCATGGACCTTTCTCACTAAATTTCCCTGTGACCAAGATAAAATTATTCTAAATTTTTCTTTCTCACTTAGTAAAGGCTTCCCGACTACAGAGCTGAACTTTGGTTTGGATACACTTTAAAGCCCCACTGACTCAACTTGAAATAGGCAGACCAGAATGGGTACTGCCAAGTTTAGAGATAAATAAATAATCCTTCCCACAATGACTCCTTGTAGATAAGAACGGACAGCCAAAGCTCTGCTTTCCTTATGACTCGAGGAGAGGGGCTATGATTCTTCCCACAGTTGAACAGGAGGTAGAATAAAGAACTTTTACCTATAACTTCCATCTTAAGTTACACCATTGGTCAGCACACAACCTTGCCAGCTATTCACTAAAGAGAAATGTCAATTGTCTTTCATTAGATAGATTGGAGTTCCAAGTTGTTCACAGTTTCTTATGATCGAATTTAAAATTTCAACATTTTGGGTTCTCAAGATTTTTTTCCTCCAGTAGTTTTCCACTGGGATGATCACTCAGAAGGCTGTGATCTTAGATTAGGCTTGAAAGTCTTATTGGTTAACAGTTGATAATTTCTCTTATCAAAATAGAACCAAGAAATTAATAGAATTGGGAAGTGATAAGGGGTAAACAAGCTAAGCTGAAATATCTTTCATTTGCTTGCTAGCTCAAAAAGTAGGGTGAAAATGGAACCATTAAAAATCATTTTTCTTTCCCACTTAAAGTTTCGCTATGTATGAGTGCTTGTGGGCACTTGCACACACATACAAGGAAACGTCAGTCTGTAAAAAATTCCATTCATCCTTTAATTCTATTTTTCAACCTAGCTGCTAACTAAAAAGATCACAATTCTAATGCACCAGATGGGGCAGTGTGGTTCAGTCAAGATCAAACTACTGCCATCGAGTCCATCGCAACTTACGGCACCCCTGCAGGACAGAGTAGAAGTGCCCCCTTGCATTTCTGAGACTAACTGTTTAGGCAGTTTCATCCCTTTTTTCCATGGGGAAGTTAATGGGCCTTAAATTCCATTTAGCAGCTCAAGATAGGACTTGCTCAATGAGTGTGTGTAAAGATTACAGCATCAGAGACTCTATGGGACAGTTCTACTCCGTTTGATAGGGCTGCCATGAGTTGGAATCAACTTGAGGACAAGTTTGGTTTGGGGTTGACACATGGTGCAACGTGTGTGTGCCCACACATACACACTCACTCAACAAATTCTTTGCTTCGTTGCACATGCTCAGACGGCTGCCTAAATGATGTCTGCAAATCCTCCAAACAATCCTCTTCACAATGACCCTATCAGGGCAGGTAGAACTGCCCCTCTGGGATTCTGAGGCTTTCCATCCTTGGAACAGAAAGCCTTGTCTTTCTCAGAGGAGTTGGTGGTTTCGAACTGCTGAAACTGTGCAATGCCCAACCACTACACTAATGAGGCTACTCAAAACAACCAGGGGGGAAAAAACCCAAACAACAATCAGAAAAGGTTTATTTCCCCCTTTTTACAAAAACCCAGAAGTTTCCAGAGGTTAAGTTATTAGTCCTTGGCTGTACAAGAATCCACCGTATAAAATTACTGGGGCAACTTGAACTTCTCATGGTGTAAAGATACTTGCTGGGAAACCGCTGAGGACAAATACAGGGGTGCAACAAAGCAACAGTTGAGTATTTATGCCTTTTTAAAATACGCTACAATCGACTCAGGTACAGAATTTGTGTTAGATTCTTTGGGAGCCACCAGCAGGGTTTTGTGCTATTGAAAAATCTCCTTCAGTTTTTTCTTCTACAACTGCAGATGGTTTTGGCAATGCAACAAATTCTCCTTTACTGGGATGGCCAGTGATTGGGCAACTTGTACTTACTCACTTCCCCACCTCTCAAGACTAGCCGTGGCCCTTTTCTATTATTTTTTAAATGGCGTATCTCCTTTCTTCTCCCTGGCTCATTTCCAATGATGAAGTGTGTTACTGGCTGGATTCCTAGATACGGCAGGGTGGGAAGGCCCTGCAGGGTTTCCAAGGCTGTAATCTTCATGAAATTAGTCTCATCTGTAGCCTGTGAAGCGGCTGGTCGGTCAGAGCACTTGGCTCTCAAGCCGAGTGCTTCACCTCACTGTGGCACTTACTAAACCACTCCCTTGCCGCCAGCAGCTGACAGGTTTCAGAAGAGCAGCGCCAACGAGCTAAACGGCCCCATGCTGAAAGAGCGCCAAGAGGAAGAAGGTTCCGTATCTCCAGAGCGGAAGCTCGGTACAAAGAATATAGCACGAGATGATTCCTCGATGAGCTCTCGTTTCCAGACCACACACGCATTCTCAACCCACTTCCAAGGGCTCTGGAAATTCGCCCTGTCTAGTCCAGTCTCCTGGTACTCCTGCTTACAGCCACCCCGCACCCCCCAACGGTGCCACTTTTACCTTAGACCACCTTCCCAATGATGCCACGTTACCTCCCTCCACGATGCCAAGCAAACTTCCCTCTACAAGTTACCAAGGCCATCTCAGACTCCACACCTGGGGACTCTCTTTCCCCGACTTCCAACTGCAAGGAATTCCCTCCCTCCTCGGCTGGGGGGACCGTTGCGGGCTCTGGGACTCCTGGCCTCCACCCGTGCCCGCCTCCCTTCCGCCCTGGAGCTCCCTGTCGCACTAGGCTGGCCAGTGCACACAGCCCAGCGAGCCTGTCGCCGACTGGGAGGTGCAGGCTCTCTCCAGCCAGCCTCCCCCTCCTCCACGCCCCCTCCGACTCACGTGCTACAGGCCGGGGGCGCACGCGGCGCTCACAATCCCCCGGTGGATCCCGGTCGCGGCTGGAGGACGGGCCGACAAGGGGCCAGCCACGGACCGCGGTCCCAGCGCTCCCTCAGGCGCCTCGCTGTGCCCACTCCGGGAACCGGAAACAGGAAGCGCCAAGCGCCCGCTGGGCCTCAGCTCCTCCCACTGGACCCCGCGGCATGTGACCACGGAGTCATCGCATCTCTCTCCCTGGCCCCTTCTCCGCAGACTGGACGCTGATTGGGCAGTACCAAGGGGCGTGTGTTTCCACCCGTGTCCCAAGTGAAGTGCCAGCTTTTCGAACCGCCTTCTGCCATCGGGGTGCCACTTCGGGCCGCTCGGCTCAGGCGTCTCCGTCACGTGCGGTCACGCGCTACGCTCGCTCCCCGGTAGGTCAGACGGGCGAGGGGGCGGGGAGGCGGGCGGCGGAAGCGGAAGTGAGGGCGAGTGGCCCGCCCCCCCGCCCTCCGTCGGAGTTGTTCTCACGCCGGGTCACCTCCTTCCGGTGCTTGTCTCCTATTGTCCGTCTCCAGGGGCTTGCAGGTCTGCCCTCTGCTGGCGCCAAGTCTTACCTCTCCAGGTTCGTGTCTTGGTCATGCTGGCTTTCTTTCTTTTTTCTTAATCGTTTTATTAGGGGCTCATACAACTCTTATCACAATCCATACATACATCAATTGTGTCAAGCACATTTGTACATTCATTGCCCTCATCATTCTCAAAACATTTCCTCTCCACTGGGCCCCTGGCCTCAGGTTCTCATTTTTACCCCTCCCTCCCCATTCCCCCTCCCTCACGAACCCTTGATTTCATTAATTATTATGTTGTCATATCTTGCCCTGTCCGACGTCTCCCTTCACCCACTTTTCTGTTGTCCGTCCCCCAGGGAGGAGGTCACATGTAGACCCTTGTTCTTTATTTCATTTCTGTAGTTCCTTGTTGTTACTGAAAGTATCATTATTATTCTCCAGTCGTGTGCATTTTGCTTGATGAACGCCGCAACCTCCTATTTTGCCAGAAGTTTCTCGGGAATCCTCCTTCACTCCACCTGCACTATTTTGGGCGCCTTCAAAAAGGAGTTAACACAGTTTTAGCTTTTGTGCGTTTGCGGTTACCCTCTTGCTTATCTTAGTAGCCACTTTGAAGCTCTCCTCGTTCTCAGAACTCAGTTGAAATATTAGTTCTTCTTGGATCCACTTTCTTCAGAATGCATCCCTCCGGATGTACCTTGTTTTAGAAAAAAATTCAAGCTTTGAGTTAGCTATATGGAAGGATTCGATGCACAAAATACTGAATAAGACAGGAAGCATCAAAAGAAGATGGAACATACAGTCACTGTACACAGAGGAGTTGGTTGATGTTTAACCATTTCAGGAGGAAGCCTATGATCAACAACTATTGGTAATGAAGGAAGAAGTTGAAGCTGCACTAAAGGCCCTGGCAAAAAAAACACACCAACCAACCAACTAGGAGTTGATGGAATACCAATGAAAATGTTTCAACAGATGCTGCTCACTTGCCAATGTCAAGAAATTTAAAAGAGGACTACCTTAAAAAACCAAACCAAAACAAAAGAGGGCTACCTAGGCACCCACGTGGAAGAGATCCATATTTGTACATATACCAAAGAAAGATATTCCAACAGATTGTGGAAATTATTAAACAATATCATAGGCAAGTAAAATTTTGCTGAAGATCACTTAAAAATGGCTGCCCCAGTATGTTACCAAGGAACTACCAGAAATTCACACTGGATTCAGAAGAGCATGTGAAATGAAGGATAGTATACGTGATATTAAATGAACCTTGGAAAAAAGCAGAGAATGCCAGAAAGAGGTTTACCTGTGTTTTAGTGATTATTCAAAGGCATTCCATCAAAAAATATAATGAATAACTTTACAAACTGTGCAAACAATGGTACTGTGGATTGAATTTTGTCTCTCTTAAATACATATTAACTTGGCTGAGCCATGATTCTCCTGGGCAGTTAGGTCATGATGTAATCACTCAAAAAGTTGTAAGAAGACTAAGGTGGCTTGTAGCACCCTTGGATCACATCTCCGATATGACATAAGGGGAGTTTCCCTGGGGTGGGACCTACAATAGCTTTCTTATAAGAAATGAAGACCAAAAAATCAATTGCCATTGAGCCAATTCAGACTCATAGTTACTCTACATATGCAGGGGTACCAAAAAACCAAACCAAACCGGGATTTCCTCCCCCAAAACTATATATTTACATTTTTTTAACAGAACAACCTTATCACCTTCAAAATACTCTCCATTACACTTAATACATTTGTCAAATCTACAATTCTATTACTGGAAACATTTTTCAAATTCATCTGTTTGGATGGCTGATAGCACCTCCGTCGTTTTTTCTTCTTCTTCACCTTTTCTTCGTTGTCAAATCGCTGTCTTTTAATGTCCTTTTTCATTTGGGGAAACAAAAGAAGTCACACAGAGTGAGGTCAGGTGAGTCAGGTGAATGTGGCAAGAGAGGCATGATGTTTTGGGCCAAAAACTGGCGCATTGAGATGGCTGTGTGAACAGGTGCATTGTCATGGTGGCAAAACCAGTCCCCTGTCTGTCACAAATCAGGCCTTTTTTGTCACACACTGTTATGCAATCTTTTCAGAACTAATAAATAGAAAGCTTGGTTAGCAGTCTGACCTGGAGGAATGAACTCCAAATGCACATCAAAAAGCAAATGAGCATCGTCTTGTCTTTGATTTCACTTGAGGAGCTTTTTCTGGGCAAGGTGATGATGGTGTCTTCCACTGGCTTGATTGATATTTGCTTTGGGGGTTTTAAGGATAGCACCATGTCTCGTCACTTGTAACTTTGGGGGGGAAAAGTCTGGGTCACTTTGGAGCTGTTCTTTCAAAGCATGGCATGTTTCTACTCCACACTCTTTTTCCTGATCAGTCAGAACCTGGTGCACAAATCTTGCAGCAACCCTTCTCATTTCCAAATCTTCCATTAAAATTTGCTAAACCAAGCTCCAAGATAGTCCAGATACGTTCCCCATTTCTTTAGTCTGTCATCTGTCTTCGAGCACAAATGTACAAATTTTGTCAACATTTTTATCTGGGAAGTTGATGGACATCCAGAACGAGATTTGTCATCAATCAGCATTTCACCTTTTTTGAAATGAGAAAAACACCTGTAGATTAGAGTTTTCTCCGTAATGCTGTCTTTGTAAGCTCTGTTCAACATCATATCAGTTTCTGTGGCATTTTTTTCTGAGCAGGAAACAAAATTTCACAGCTGCATGCTGTTCTCTTAAATTGATCATCACAAAAAATGAGGTTCGAACGAAACTGCTTTTAGGAAAAAATTCACTGTGACCAGAGAGAACCTTCCCACGTGATGCTACTGGATGCACTAATTCAGAGCCAGTTGCTTGATGCTTGCCTACTGGGAAAATTGTGTACTGTAAAAACTCCACCTAGCGGAGCTTTTTTTTTGGGGGGGGGGGGGTTGGGGGAATTTACATCACCATAGAGTTTGGAGCCCTGTTAGCATAGTGATTACTTGTTAGGCTGCTATCCTGAAGGTCAGCAGTTAGAAACCACCAGCCAGCTCTTTAGGAGAAAGACAGGGCTTTCTATTCCTGTAAAGAGTTATAGTCTTGGAAACTCAAAGGGGGAGTTCTACCCTTTCCTATAGGGTAGCTATGAATTGACATTTACTAAGTGAGGTTTGAGGCAGTAAATATTTGTCCGAACAGATAGCCTTATCTTTCTCCCTTGGAGCTGCTGATATGTTTGAACCACTGACCTTGTGGTTAACAGTCTAATGTTTACTCAGCAGTGCCACTAGAGATCCCACAGGAGATGAAAGGAGATATAAATGAGCAGAGATTAGAGGGACCTCTATGGTAGGAATCTCCCAGAACCAGGAGGCACACACAGAAGGAAAGCCATCCCCTAGAATTGGCACCCTGAATTAGGATATCTGGACTCCTAAATCATGAGGAAATACATTGAAGTTTGTTAAAGTCATAGTTCTATGTAGTTATAATAATCATTTGGACTTTCATCTCACATGAAGACATATTTTACAATACCAGGTAGGAAGAGCATCCAATATCCATAGTGCATTCAGGTAAACTCAAAACCACTTGCCCTTTTAATAAGACCCAAATTTAATCTTCTGTTCTCCAACCAAGTAGGCTTGGTAGCAGAGTGGGTTATGAGATGGACTGCTAACTGGAAGGGGAGCAGTTTGAAACCACCAGCTGCTCAGGGGAGAAAGACGAGGTTTTCTACTTTTCTAAACAATTGCTGTCTCAGAAATCCGCAAACAGCATACAAACCCACTACACAATGTCACTAGCTTCTATCTCTGAAAAGTGCTGAGGGCGGGGGAAAGAGTCAGTTTGGGCCAGGAAACTGGCCACCCCACAGCACTTCTCTATTTCTCTCACCTTTAGCAGCTGTCTCTGCAATTTTACCCACCCTGGAGGATGAATGTAATCTGTATTGTGCTTTGTTAGGTGGCAGAGGAAGGGGCTTCTTACTCAGGGACTTATTATTTACTTAAGAGAGCACCCTTAGAATAGTGCAGAAATCTGTGCATTGGGTGGGTGGGTGGGTGGGGGCTGTCTATTTTACATGGTGTAGAGCCCTGGTGGCTTGGGGAGTCACGCTTTGGACTGCTAACTGTGTGGTCAGCAGTTTGGGACCACCGACTGCTAAGGATTTTAGCTCTGGTGAGGGGGTCTTTTAACAGTTTCCTGAAGTTAGAGATGAGTGGGCCTTACCAGAAGGCAGGAGGTAGTGGAGGGCTACCTAGTAAAGACTGGTTAATTCTGGAATTACTCTGTTTCAAACCGTTTTTAAGCATGGTGGAGAAATAAGAAAACACTTGAGCACTCTACCATGATCTCCTCTGCTCTTTTCAGATGGGAAACCAAATCACAATCACTTTTAGATACACCTCTGAGATGCATTCTGGCTTGAAAATGGCAGTCTAAATTATGATACCATCTTACTAGACTTGTTTTGCAAAAGGCAAGGAGAATAGACAGAGGTCTCTTATATGTAGGCTTTCATAGCCCTGTGAAATGCTCCCCAGCTACGTAAGACTCGTTAAATGGACCCTGCCTTCTTGTAGACTTTGGGGAAAAAATAAACCAGAAAGCCAGCTCCCACTTTCCCACATGGGACCCCAGGAGATACAGCCTCCTTCAGCCCGAGTCAACACAACCTGACGCAGAACTTTTAAGGTCCAGCGAAAGCAAGGCGGCAAGGCAGACAGAGCCCGAGCTGTTCCTTTAGGAGAATGCCCCAGGCCAGGTGGCATATTCAGAACGTAAGCCATGTTCACTAGACAAGACTTCTTACTGCCATGGAGTTGATTCTGACCCTCAGTAACCCTGTAAGGC